GGAAACTTAAAGTATGTGCCTCTGTAAAGAAATGCATTTAATTTGGGATTTGAAGGGTAGTAAGGAGAGGAGAGAGAAGTCTTCCAGGGAAAGGGAACAGCGTACAGGCAGACATACAATATAGCTGGGCTGTAATAAGTAGGAAGAGAGTAAGATGTGGTTGGGGAGGTGGGCCAAGGCTAGATAAAGGTGCTCGGGAGTGCATTATTAAAGAGTTTGAAGTTTAAGGGCAAAATGAATTGTCAGTAGCACTTAAGTTAGAGGAGTGACATGGTCCACTTTTATCTTTTTAACGATCAAGTTGGGAGTCTTTATGGAAGCTTGGTCTAGATTTTCGACAATGAAGACCAAGAATAATGGATGGGATTTGAATCTATTTTGGAGGTGTGCAAGTATCAGATGGCATTGTTTTCTTAATATGAAACTTGGGAGGAAAGATCGAGCAATAAAGTTCCAATGTGAAAATTGGTCCTGTTTTCAACTACGCAATGTGTATGAGACCAGACAAACACTTTTAACCTTTTAATTCTCATATTTTTATGGCACTTTAGAATTCACTAAGGGCATTCACATCTTTTCTATTCAGATGTAGAAACCAACAGGGAGTAATCTGCTCAACGTTCTGACACAGCAAGTCTGCAAGAAAACTGGGCCTCAAACTAGTCCTCTCCAGTCAATGAAAAATTGAGCATATAATAATGTACCACACCCACAGTATAGGCTGAAGTTACAGGCTGGAAAATATTTGACCCCCAGATTGTATTTGCACCTGTGGTTACAGTTTCTCCTCTCCCAAGGTGAAGGCAGAGGCAGCTGCAACCCTGGCTAAGAGCCCAGCGGGCACCTCCGGTGGGGTTGTCTCCCGCACTGGCCCCACCCGCACCCCCACCATTACACCCAGCTAAAGCCCAGGGACAAGCAACTTTACAGACTCCTCCCTGGGTACAAATTCTTCTCTTTTGCGTGAGCTTAAAACAGAGATTAAAAAAGAGAAGGAAAAAAAAAAACACTGTGAGGTATTGAGCCCACAAATACATTTGGTTTGACTCATGCAATATTATTTATTTTGAATTAGTTACCAAGATCTATAAATCAAGAGATTACACACACACACTCATGCATACATGCGCACATGTATGATCTGCTTATTTTAGGAGTTCTCTTATAATATCAGGTCTGGCATCACTGGTCTGCATACCAAAAAATTGATAGGGACCTCCCACCACCTAGCCTCTGGGGCATTTTGGCTTGTGATCCCTGGCTTAAAGACTACATGTGTAATTAGGGGAAGGCCAGATACTAAAGCTTGGGTGTGCCACAGGCAGGCAAGTGCCGCAAGTTGTTCTTAGGCTGCTTATCCCTAGCCTAAAGGGAAAAATAGATAAGACCAGGATAGAAAAATAATGTTTAAATATTGCCTGCTCCCTTCTGTCATCAGGTGGTAAACCCGTGAGAAAGCTTTCCATCCCCCAGTGAGCGAGAAAAGGAGGGAAATCTTGGCCTGAATCCCCAGGTTATCACAAAATAGGCAGGGAAGTAGGTAAGACCTTTTAGAATGCCCACAGTGGGGAGAAAGAAAAAAAAAAGTATTAGATGCCATGGAGTTGGCAGATGAGGAATGTTGCCGGAGCTATGCATTAATGAAATCTCCTGACTTTCTATGAAGTTCTTTACATCCAGAACTTCTGAAACATCTCTCCTCCTGCCATGTGGCTCTCAATTCAGCCCCTCCCTTCTAAATCTCTTCTCAAACCACCAGCTGAGAACCAGGAAAAGGTTGAATCCTCTTTCTGGCAGAAGAGGGTGCCAGGGAATTTCCCTCGCTCACATGCCAGGGCAACAGCAAGGGGAAAGGTGCATCTGACAGCCCAGCTTGGAATTCTTTTGCTATTTGCAAGTCACAAGTTCTTTTACACGGTGGTAAGATTTCATAGTACCATTAACACAGAATTCCTTTTCATTAGGAGTTACAGAGGCTTTTGAGTGGTATGTAAATATATATGTCTATGTGTATATGTATGTATATGTATATATTGTTTCTGTGGGAAAATATATTCAAAGTTTCAAACAACTGATTTCCAAATATACTTTTGGAGCATAGCGTATGTACAAGTTGAAAATTGTTTAATTTTGAGGCTAAAGCAAAAATTTAATCAACAAAGAGTGTATTCTATATTTTCTGTTGTTCATGATCATTGCTAACCTTCCTCTGTTACTTCTGCCAGGGCGTTTACTTTAAGAGCAGGCAAATGCATTAAATTTAGAGGCAGTCCTATTATTTTGGTAATTTTTGGATAATGTTTAGATAAATATAAAATTGGGCCTTAGACTGAAACTATTTACTGTAAGGAACATGGCCCCTAGATCGAAAGAAGAGTTAAGATAGTGGACATCTTTAGAAAAAGAGACTGGAAAACTGTGGCTTGTTAAGTTCAACATCCACCTTGGGAAAAAAAAATTTATAAACAAATCACTTTCTAAAAAACTCAGAGACAAAAATCACAGATTCATAAATAGCAATTTCTACTAAACTATTCTAACATAATTGTTTCCTTATTGACTATACAGCTAGGTCAAGGGGAAGGATTTTATTGCATGTGTACAACATAATCTTTGACACTTTGGGCAACTTTAAGTGTTGCCCATTAACAGATACGGGTTCACAGCTCTGCTACTGAAGAATCACCTAAGGGATTTACTAAAAATACACAATACTAGGCATACTGAACTGCAATCACGGCAACTTTATGAGCTAAGAATATGTATTCCCATTTTTCAAAAGAGACAAATGAGCGACAGGAAAATGAAGTAACTTGTCTAGGATCGCACTGCTGGAAGGCTGCGGAGTCACCTTTGAGCCAGACATCTGACTCCAGAGTCTGCACTCTCAATAACAACAGGAGTTCAAATAAATCCTACTTCCCATTTTCCTACTGTTGCTCTCCAGATTGTCAGACTGTCGAGTAAGAGGGGTGTTTGCCTTTAAGATCAGAACTGGTTGTACCTTGCTGAAGAGAGTTGGAGCAAGCTGGGCAATGCATGGTGTATGTCTAGGTCTGTGTTGCCAAATGCAATAGACATTAGCCAAGTGTGGCTACGGTACTTCACATGTGGTGAATCCAGATTTCGAAGACTCGGAATTGCTATGAAAAGAAAAAAAAGATGCAAAACACCTTAATAACTTTTAATATTGATTTCACGAAATGATAATATAATGGATATAGTAGGTCAAAGAAAACATTACTAAAATTAATTTCACTGGCTTCTTTACTGTTTAAAAACATGGCTCTCAGAATATTTAAAATCACATATGGGCTCAGGTTTGTAATTCACATAATATTTCTATTGGACAGCTCTGATGTAGGTAAACCTTCGCTTATCCTTCTAGATTTTCTTCTGTTGGCTGACATAGTTGAACATTTACTAGTATATAAAATTCTTGGGGTCATGTCTCTTTGTTTTCCCTGTAAACTGTAGCACAGAGCTTTGCAAATATTGTGCCAAACAGTTCATAACCATCTTTTGCACTGAAGTTTAATTAAATTAATATTTGGACCTGAACTAGTTCCATGATACTTTCCAGGTGTTTGCCATGCTCATACATTTTAACAGCTTATCATATAGGAGCTCAATAAATGTTACTTGAGTTTAATTATTTATGAAGCGGTAAGTGACAAACCTGACCACCATCTAATGTATGAAAAGTTCTACTCATACAAATGTATCCTTAAAGTGATATTTCATATATAGAATCTCCTTTCTGATTCAGTCAAAACGCTATGTTTTGAAATTTGTTCTGAGATACATGATTATTCATACGTTAAAATGTTTCATGAGTTTTCTATAGCCATGGGCTCTAAAGAGAAGCCTATTTCAAGCTCGATGCTATTTCTCAGCCTTTTTCCTCCACTACCAATTTTGAACTTTTTCTTTGGTATTGAAGTGACTTCGTGCAGTAAATATTATCCTGAGGAGTTGTGATAATGAAATTTTTATTGAACTAATTAGATTCAAAAGATGCTAGGGTACTTCACTCTAATAAGCCATCCAATACATTCTTTTAAAAAGTCAATACTAAACTATACATTTAGAATTCAGTTAAGATGGTAAATTTTATGTTACATGATTATTGGTAAATGCCTTAAGAAACACAGAATCAGAATCGTTCATTATATGTTATTTATGTTACTGTATGTTGCCACTTTATTTTTTTGTCTGAACACTGCTAATTGCTTTTAAATATATCTAATTTTTGGAATGTGATTCCATTCGCATTCATGGATCCTAGGTTCTTTGGGGGCTTTGAGCTTTTCCTCCGTGCTAAAAAAGCACTGTATGAGATGAGCAGTCAATTGGGATTAGAATTCAATGTGTCAGCTAACTCAGAAATCCCAATACAGAATTTAGCACTCCTGGTCAACAGATACTCTCCAGGGAGCTTGGCTTTCAAAAATCAATTATTGGATCGTGTCCCTCTAACTCAAGAGCGGGTTTGATGGTGACTGTTTTTATTTCCTATTACCCACGGAGTGATGATATTTATTTTAAAGGATAAGGGGTTAAAAAATAATTTCAAAAAAATGTATTAGTCCTATTGAATGATTTTGCATTCTACAGGACTAATTTTCAAGATATTTGAATTGGGAAGGCTGAAATCACTATAAAAGGAATGTAGTATCTTATGAGTCTTAGGATGAAATGAAATATGCACCCAATTTAAGATTCTCACTTAACTCAGGTGTTTAAAATATTAAGACAATAAATAAATTCTCTTGGCTAAATACCTTATGTATGATAAAATTGCAGGTAAGTATCAGGTACAAGGTAAGTGACACCCTTGGATGTCCTCTCTAGTTAGAGATCCAGTGACAGCTTGTCTGCATGGTGCACATTAGAAGTCACAACATTGGAATAGTTCATTATGACAAATAACAGAAGTAGGCAATAGAGTTTAAATGGTTTATACTTTTATACTTCTATGTTGTGTTCCTATCTTACAGACTTTTATAGTATTGAATAAAGGGAAGGCCATCTTCCGGTTCAGTGCCACCTCTGCCCTGTACATTTTAACTCCCTTCAATCCTCTTAGGAAAATAGCTATTAAGATTTTGGTACATTCATATCCTTTTCAAGTGATCAATGTTAACTATTTGTGTGTAAAAATCTGTAAGTGCTTTGTAGCTAAATATAAAACTGGCTTGGGAAATGTCCATATTCTATGGCTTTTATCACTCATTTTGTATCTTCTTTTGTCATATAAGCCTTATTCTTACAGTTTATTAGTCACATAGATATCTCTGAAACTTACAAAGTCTTTAATATTCTATACATATATCTTTCAAATATATATGATACATCACTCTGTAACCTTTTATATAGATATATAGATATATATATATCTTCCTAAAAAATACTTGTATGTATTGAGTCTTACAAATGTAGTGTAAGGTGGCTATATTTATCCTTACCATCATTGTACAAAGTTTGTGATGATCTAGAATTTGCAGTGAATAATGATATAATAACAGAGAAATCTATTTCCAGAGCCAAGTTTAGACATATCTATTATATAAAGCATTTTAGTGTACCTTAGAATAAACCTTTAAGTATATTTTCTGTGGGAGAATGTCAGGGGTCTTTGGCCAATACTTAGTTAATTCTTGAACTTTCCTAATGAAATCCATGAGGAAATACTGCAATATTGGCTGAATTTCAAATTCAAGTCATTGAATTATGGCTCTGTCATGGAAAACTGATTGCTTAGTAAAGACTCTGGAAGTTAATGAAAGAAGCTGAGATTATATTTCCAAATGGTCTTTAGGGATTTGACTTTGAGATTTCCACTGGTGTTAAAAATGGACTCCAACTAAATTAATCTATTCATATTCATTGGCAAAAAAAACAACTTTATTTCTGATTATGTCTCCTTTGACAACTTTGGTGATAATAAATATAAAAATACTGTTGTAATTTTCATAAACACATACTACCTGATTTTTTTAAAAAAAGATTCTAAATCTGAAAAGGCCATTCTATTTTTAACCTGATAGCAAGTGATTCCTTGGTGGTATAAATATAATGTTATTAATATTAAAAGATTCAAAACATAAAAATTATATGTTCAAGGTTTTTACATTCGTGGAGGTTACCTTATCCTAGTTTGTACTCCTAGTGCCATCATGTGGTCATTTGGTGAAAACTTCCTTTTCAGTTATGGAAAATTTTTGTTTTGGCAGTAAACTGTAGTGGAAAGAATATTGGATATGAAGGCAGGAAACTTGTGTTCTACTCCTCAGCCAACTTATCTAATTTCTCTAGAGCTTAGGTCTTATTTCTCTGATTTCTGAAATATAGTGATTAGACTAGGTGTTTTTCAAGGTCCCTTTCAGCTCCATAATTCTGTTACGTTTAGTCATTCGTTTGAGCTAACACTTGGATCGTATCTACTAACGTTTAGGCCTGTGCCGACTACCCTACACATTTTAACTCATGTAATCTTCACCTCAAACTGACAAGGTCTATACTTGATTAGCTACACTGTGGGAAAGTCAGTGGAGACATAAGATTCCGTGGCAAGTGACTTGCCCAAGATCACATTTATGTTGAATTTTAATTACATTCATATCACTTTAAGTCCTGGCCTTCTGGAATTTTCACTTTTATTCACATTCAGTATGGCTGCACTTGAACAAATCAGTCAAAATGGAGCAATCCCACGCTCAGCACCATGCTGTACTTTGACTACATATTTCTTAGTGTATCAAACTTATTCTATAGCATGTATTTAAGAAATTACAATATTGCATATATGTGCCTTCCTTCCCAATTTACTATTTTAGTCACCTGAATTAGTTCAAATTCAAATTAGTTCAAATCAGTTTTCCCTGCTCAAAATCTGTGCCACTCCAGATTGCACAGTTTTCCCACTAAAGTTCTCTGGGAAGTAAAGATATTGATTCAATAATAGTATCAAAAGCAACGTTTTATACTCAGATCAAGCTTTCTCATACATTATCTCACTTCATCTCTACAACTGCTTTCTGAGGGTGATATTATTGCCACATTTTAGAGATGACAAAACTGAAATTTAAAGAAATTAGATAATTGCCCAAAAACGTGTGAGTCACTGCGTCCTGACTAAACTCCAGTTTGAGCTTCCAATGTTAGTTTTATATAATATAGTACATGGATTTGGATTTTCTTTTGTGTGTTCCTTAACAATTACCTACATTATTCAGCATGCTAATTATGTGCACTATTTTGACAAACTGTGTGTTTATGACAATGAGTAACCCTCCTGACTGGACAAAGAATGTAGAGTAAGTTCAACTGATATTTAAACCACCTACTATGTGAGCGCGCGTGTAGAGAGAACTATATAGATATACAGACGTATAGGATTTTGAAACTATGCCTCAATGTACTTTCCAAACAAAACGGAAGAGTATTTTTATTAAAGCCATTTCTAAGCCCACATACAAAGCAGGAAGACAAATGACATTGGCCCTCGGGCCTGCTGCCATTAGATCTAATATCTGTCCTCCGCCTATATTTGATGGTGATCAGAATCCCCTCACCCTTGGACACTCACCGTTTTTCCTTTAGGATCTATAGCAGCCAAAGCAAATGTGATGAAAGCAATGGCAGAAATGAACCAATATGGTAGATCTGGATTCCAGTTAAATTCCAGATGAAGTCAGTGAGTTCAGAGTTTATCGGGGGCTATTACACAGGCCGTAGGAAGACCGTGTTAAGCCTCTTCAAGTTTTCATTGCCATCGAGCACATCCACTTCATGTCAGGCCTCTGTCAATTTCAAGCGTTGTCATCAAAAAATTCACAAAAAAAAAAATCCCCAAATTTGGGATTTTACAACTGGAAAATTCAATAAACTGAGGGCTACACTAACTGAAGTAAAAGTAATGGTAGTGTTTTTGAAAACTGGAAGCATTACTAACTGCACTGACGGCGTTGCTCTGGGTCACCTCTGAGGGTGAATTTGTGTTACGGGCTGCTGGGGAGGCTCACCCTGCCCAGTTTGTAACTACTATTGCCCTATGGTTGCTGACCCTGAAAACAACAACCACGAGGGCATTCCCAAGAGCCCCTTCCCTTCCTGGACACTTCCAAGTTGGAGCCAATCAGAAACAGAGATCCTACAGGAAATCATAAAATTTACATACAAAGAATACCTAAAGTATTGAAGTTAGCATGTGAGGTCCATCCATCTTCAGTCCCCCTGGTTTCTGTGACTTTGATCTCTAACTTCTGAGTAGAAGGTCAAAACTTTGGAAACATCTAAATTTCTGAATTAGCCCAACATTTTATTCTAGGTTAAATTTTCACCTCTTACGACCCTAGAATTATCCCATTTTGAGGTTAACAAAATCCTTTTTCCAAGTTAGTTAACTGTCTTATTTGTAGAAAGACAAAACCACAACACTTGCTAACTTGTCGGTGTTCTCGCATTCATAAAACATGATTGAAATTAGCTTTTTACTTTCTAAGGGAAAATCATTTTATGCTTCTGCAATATTATTATCCATCATGTGAACGTACTGGGTAATTTTCAGGAGGTTCTATTCATTTATGTCAATACCAAGACATCTCAGACAGTAGCTACATAGACTTTATACAGCATGTATTTCCTACTCTGCCTTTATGACACTTTAAAAACAACTCTTCATATCTTAGGGAGTGAATTTAAATTTAGGGGTATGTTTTATGTCCATGAAAATAACATCAACCTGCTTAGATTCCTTTTTTAATATTCCTCTATTCCAATGGCAGAGTGATAAGAAATTGATATGCTATAAAAGAAAACTATTGCTTTATCAGTTCTTTTTGGATACTTACCTCCAGGTACACCTTCACAGGAATATATACTTTTGAGTCACTTATAAAAATTATTGCAAGGGGCTTCTGTTTAGAAGACTTTACTTTCCTTCGGGACCCGTGGAACTGGCTTGACTTCACTGTCATTACATTTGCGTAAGTGCCTTTTTGAAATTGTAAGATAGAATATGGTTTGGCTTTCTATGCGTGCTTATGTTTTTAAAAAGTAAGCTTGCTTTAACTGAAAAATACCTTGGTGTGATTTATACATTTAAGCTCCTGATTTGGTTTAGCACAACAGAGGTCAAAGTGGCATTTCATTTTGGCATATAACCTCTGCAGAGGGTTGAAGTTACAGTTTCCACGTGTAACAAACATGTCAGCAAACCTCAAAGCTGCCACTTGTTCAACACACACACAACCGCCTCCCACATGCACACAATATGAAAGCACAGGTGTATTCATAATCCATCTGTGAAAATGACTTTAAAAAATTATAGCCACAAACAACAGCTGGCTGCACAAATTTTCATTGACCTTATCTATATTATGTATTCTGTCTTCTTTTTTTAAAGATTTTATTTATTTATTTTTTTTTTTGAGAGAGAGAGCGCAAGCAGAGGGAGGGGGAGGGACAAGTAGACTCCACGCTGAACACAGAGCCTAACTCATGGCTCCATCTCACAACCCCTGGGCTCGTGACCTGAGTGGAAATCAAGAGTTGGATGCTTCACCAACTGAGCCACCCAGACACCCCTCTTTCTGTCTTCTTTTATTAGTTTGGTAGAATAATGGAAAATAAGCATCTATGAGCATCAAAATCTTCTGACAGATAAAACTAATGGGAAAAAATAAGGTACTTAATATATTATGTATCTAATATAGTAAATTATTATTTCATCAGCAAAGTGATTTTTAAGACTTACGGGCAGACACATTCTCTGTCTCTTCCTATTCCTCACCTGATCCCATTTCTTTCTTCCTCTTTTCTTTCCCTCTGCGATTTTTTTTTGTATCATTCTTTACCCTCAACATAAACCTTCTTATCTTCATCTCCCATCCAGATACACTCAGTAATATGCACAATTTTTCTATCCATCTCCTTTTTTTTCTAGTGGTAAACTCCCCCAAGGAAGAAGAGACTCAGAAAAGTAATTGAAGGCCATTCAGGAGTAGGTGAAATTAGTGTGGAGGAAGGTGGTCCACCTGCCCTCACCGTTCCTTCAGGAGCTGATTTTCTTGGTCTTTGTAGGCACAATGCGGTAGACAGGAGGAGAAGTAGGGCTGACATACTCAGGGCTCCAAATGCTGCCTGTTTCATCTTAATTCCATAACTACTTAGGATAAGCCAATTCTTCCCCATTCCTTCTGGCCACAGTTCAAAAGAAAGCATATTGGGACAATTGTTTTGTGAGACTAAAGTAGCAGTAATAGGAGGGACACCATTGAGCCCTCAAAAAATCTTGTTCTTACCTTGCCTAACTTTCACTTAGGAATTGCACTAGAAAACCCTTTACATGTACAGATAGTCTGTAAGGCAATCTGCTTTTTCCTGCCTAAATTTCTCTTGGATGATTCCGTGCCTTTTTTTGTTTTCTAACTGAAACCCTCAACCTCTAGCCAAGAATTATTTTCTATTTACTCAATTCTCCTTAGTTACACATGATGTTGATTATATTGCTTGCCAAAATAGCAACAGGATTATATACTTTATGAAGTTTACACCTACAAAGAGCCTTAAATTATGTAGGTTAAGAAAACAAAATTATCATTTAGAATCACCAAGAAAGTCTTTATAAAAGGCCCAAGCGAATAATATAAATCCTGCTTAACTCTTGAATAATTCTGAGTTAATTCTACAGGTATGTAACAGAATTTGTAAGTCTAGGCAATTTTTCAGCTCTTTGAACTTTCAGAGTCTTGAGAGCTTTGAAAACTATTTCTGTAATTCCAGGTAAGGAGTGACTGGTGTGAAGCACAAGGCTCCTTGTACCTACAGCTCTTTCTTTGTATCCTGTTATTGTGTTGTGTGTGAACTCCCTATTACAGATACGTGACAGAGTTTGTGGACCTGGGCAATGTCTCAGCACTAAGAACATTCAGAGTTCTCCGAGCACTGAAAACAATTTCAGTCATTCCAGGTGAGAGCTAGGTTAAAAAATGGGGCTGACCCATCATGATTTTCAGTGACAGTTTCTTTGCTTGGCAGCATTACAGAAAATCAGGAATCATAATAAAGTAATCAAAATCATAATCAAAATCGAGTGCTTTACAGGAAATAATTCTTATTATTTGGACATAAGTTTTTATGTTTTTCCACTTTTTATCAGCGTAGGAGTTTAGTAGTGTTTTTCATGAGATACTGAAATATACAGTCTGTGTGTGATTTGTATTTAGAGATGCCATGTTTTGTTTTCTTTTTCTCCATGTCAGTTGTACCAGGGATTTGGTCCCTATTGAATGTACCAATTTGTAATTTTTGTTCATTGTAGGTATTGATGATGATGTATGTACAATGTAAATCCTAATATTGCTTTAAAAGAAAGGAAATAAGATAATGAAGAATAGCGTGAGTCTGCATAAAGGATTTATTATCTTGAAGTGTAGTTACACCCCAAAGCACCTCCAGAATTATAGCAAAACTTTTCCTACTTATAAATAGGCATTTAAAAATATGTATTCAGGTAATTTGCTATAAAACTGATAACTGACCCTAAGGAAAGTATGGGTGAATTTCATTAGCAAAAAGGAGAAATAGAAGAGCCTTTTCTTAATATAGGCTTCATGAAGACCATGAACCTCCCATTATTTTCTCTTAACATAATGGGATATGATCTTCATTTCATTGTTTGGATCATTACGTTTCTAGAGCTTATCCCCTTAGCACTTTAGCCTACCATGAAGTGTTGCTTCTCCACTAGCATTACAATTATTTTCAGACTTACGCATGGAATCTATGTTTTCAAGAAAATTGTGTGAGGCTTCTGTTATTTCTGACCTTCTAAGTCTTCATAGTCATAGCCTTCTTTCTTTAAGGCCTGAAGACCATTGTGGGGGCTCTGATCCAGTCAGTGAAGAAGCTCTCCGATGTCATGATCCTGACTGTGTTCTGTCTGAGCGTGTTTGCGCTGATTGGGCTGCAGCTGTTCATGGGCAACCTGCGGAATAAGTGTGTACAATGGCCTCCCACCAATGCTTCCCTGGAGGAACACAGTATAGAGAGGAATGTAACTATGAATTACAATGGCACGCTTGTCAATGAAACCTACTTTGAGTTTGACTGGAAATCATATATTCAAGATACAAGTAAGAATTTTTGTTATGTAAATTTATTTTTTCATTGTTGATTTGCCTTCCACCAAGGCATGGAAAATTTTCTCAAAATCATTGCATAATTGGTTGTGATCTCTTAATCACCATATCAATGGTTTGCATATACACTTAATTATTTTACTGATAACTGTTCTAATTTTGACTCCTAAATGCCATTTTCTGTCGTTCCATTATATGGGAGGCTGAAAAATTCAGCCGCAAAGAAAGTAAGTAAAATTTTCTCTTTTATGTAGTTTTAGTATTTGCCAGTGGCAATGTTTCAAAAGCAGACAGAACATAATTCATGGGGAAAGGGACTGTCTTTTTTAAAGAAAAGTATTAAATATATAAAACTTAGTCTTTAGATGGGCTTGTATCTTTGTTATTTTAAGGTGATGAGTAATACTTAGGAAAAAAAATCAAAGAAAAAACCTTAGTGACTGGTTGTGTGGAACAAGTAGGATTAGTCATAAAAAATTACTGGTAGTTGGATAATTCTTAAAGTCATGATATAATAAGAAACCTAATCAGTGTCTTTTTATAGTTGGAGATCTAGAAAATCTCTTGGATGATACAGATTAACTCTTTCATGACATTAGTGATAGGCCAACAAATAATTTACAAATAGTTACAGATCTCTAGATTAAGAAAAATACATGTCAAAGCAATACATAAAATGTCCCGTATTCACTTCATATGATGCCAATAAGTCTACTGCTGTCACCAACTCCCTGAAATCTGCTATTTTTTTTCTCTTCATCTAAAATCAAGGAACTGACTATGAGGATGTCACTTAGAGTTTGTTCTCTCTAGTGAAAATGTGCTGGACTCTATTTCTCTTAGAGTCAAAGTAAAAGAATCCTAAATATCTGAGGCATTTTCAGCTCTATAAATTTGTATTCATCATTTTGCCTAACAATACTCCATCTGTTGAAAAGATTATTTTAAATCAAATGCAAATATAAATAAAATGGTTTGTCTTTGAAAGTAATAAAAAATTAAATTTATTAAAATTAAAGATAGGGATGCCTGGGCAGCTCAGTCCGTTAGGCGGCTGCCTTCGGCTTGGGTCATGGTCCCAGGGTCCTGGGATCGAGCCCCATGTCCAGCTCTCTGCTCAGCAGAGAGCCTGCTTCTCCCTCTCCCTCTGCCCTTCTTGTGCTCTCTCTGCCTCTTTCTCTCAAATAAATAAATAAAATCTTAAAAAAAGTTAAAGATAAACTTTATGCCTGAAAGTTGTATTTTCTTCAGATTAAGTTTCTAGATCATTGACTTTAATGGATAAAACTTCATTTATAAATACCTGATATCAAAAATTCATCCAGAAACTATCATATTCCTTTCACTTCATTTCATTTTAATTGAAAAGTTAAGAAATACTATCTAAATTTTCTTGTCTATGTTCAAAGAAGTAAAGACATTAGCAATGGAAATATTTCCCATTATGTGTTTTTGTGTCCTCTATAGAACTATGCATAGAATAAATTTCAAATAAATTTCTCTGAAAATTTAACACCTAGAAAATACTTCTTTTTATAAAATCCAAAAATTTTTCTTCTTAAAACTTGATTATAGGGATACCTGGGTGGCTCAGTCTGTTAAGCATCTGCCTTTGGCTCAGGTCATGGTCCCAAGGTCCTGGGATTGAGCCCCACATCAGGCTCCCTGCTCAGCCGGAAGCCTGCTTCTCCTTCTGCCTGCCACTCCCCCTGGTTGTGCACTCTCTCTCTCTCCCCGACCCCAACAAATAAATAAATAAAATCTTTAAAAAAACAAAACAAAAAACTTGATTATTTAAATGGCATGATCTCATCCATTTTTATAGCTGTGTAGTATTTCGTGTGTGTGTGTGTGTGTGTGTGTGTGTGTGTGTCTGTGTGTGTGTACACCACATCTTCCTTATCCATTCTTCTATTGATGGACATTTAGGTTGCTTCCATATCTTGGCTATTGCAAATAATGCTGCAATAAACATAGGGGTACATGTATTTTTTCAAATTAGTGTTTTCATTTTCTTTAGGTAAATACTCAATAGTGGAATTAGAGGGTATTATTTCACTAGGCAGTGAAATAAGTCAGATTGGAGGAAGACAAATACCATCTGATTTCACTCATAAGTGAAATCTAAAAAAATATGATAACGAATGAATAAGTAAACAAAAAACAGATTCAGACCTGTGAATACAGAGCATAAACTGATGGTTGCTAGAGGGGTAGGAGTGGGAGGTTGGCCAAGGTGGGTGAAAGGGAGTGGGAGACACAGGCTTCCAGTTACAGAGTGAGTAAGTCACAGGAATCAAAGGCATAGCATTAAGAATATGTCAATGATATTGTAATAACAGTGTGTCAGGACAGAATGTAGTTTTACTTGTGAACGTAGCATAATGTATAAACTTGTGGAATCACTATGTTGTACACCTGAAACTAATGTAACATTGTCAACTTAAATTTTTAAAATGGTGATTTAATTCGATACGTTTCTCTTTTTGTCATCATTTTACTTATTTATTCAATAAACTTTATTGAAAGGCTGCTGGGCCCCAACAATAGTAATATAGAAGTAACTAATGATCAGACTTTCTTTCAAGGAGTAACAATATTTGTAAACAAATAATTACAATATAGGACAATGAGTACAATAATAATGGAAGTAGCTACCTATTCTAGTAACACAGTGAGAAAAGTTCTTAATTTTGCCATTCTTTAATGGGTAGGAAGTAGAGAATATCAAGGAACAATTCACCAAAGAAGTGTCATTTCAACTTGATATTAAAACAATCTAAGGAGGGCGCCTGGGTGGCTCAGTTGGTTAAGCGACTGCCTTCGGCCCGGGTCGTGATCCTGGAGTCCCGGGATCGAGTCCCGCATCGGGCTCCCCGCTCAGCAGGGAGTCTGCTTCTCCTCTGACCCTCTTCGCTCTCGTGCTATCTCTCATTCTCTCCCTCTCAAATAAATAAATAAAATCTTAAAAAAAAAAAAAAAACAATCTAAGGAATTTGTCAGAGAAAGAAAGCTTTGAGACAATATTCACCTCTAGTACTTATTTTAGCCTTACTATTTAATATTTTTCATTTCATTTCTTTTAGTAGTTGACATGATTTATGCATCTTTTGCTATAAACTGCCTATGATATATTCTGGAAGTTGATAGGATGTAAGTTATAATTAACTGTTAAACATTTATAAATAGTGTTTAAATATACGGAAGAAAGAAAAAAATACAATCCCTTTATTTTCAAATGTGTGGCCCTTTGGAAGAACAAAGGAATTGCTGTCATGCTTATCTATTTTTAAAGCATGAATTTTTTATTTTTCACAAGGTTGGTGGAAAAAACACTGATATCTTTTAAATTTTTCTGCTAGCACCTGTGATTATCACTAATTTTATATTCACAAAGAACAAATGCTTTCTACTATTAAGTATCCAATCCCTTTAATATAATACCTAGTATTTAGAGGGATAAGTGGCAAATACCTGTGTCTCTGAATGAATTATATAATGTATTTTAAAATTACTCTATGAATCCTAAAAGTGAGGTCTGATCTCGCTTTCATTTTGCAGTGTAATGCAAATGCTCATCATTTGACTTTCTTTTTTCTAACCAGGATATCATTATTTTCTGGAGGGTGTTTTGGATGCACTACTATGTGGAAATAGCTCTGATGCAGGGTAAGCCAATAATTTGTGTGTGTGTATACTTTATTAATACTTATTTGCTATAATTAAGGTTACTTCTAAGGTGAGGGATTATTTACAGAGTAGGCAAGTTTTTATGTTTCATAAGACAAGGAATAATACTTTTGCTTTAATGCTGTGTTCCTTAGGATAGTATATGTGCGCTAGAAGACAACTCTAGAAGCTTCATTGTAGGGAAAATGAGCTAGGGTATGCTAAAATGCTAATTATCAACAGAAAATAGGTTTTTGTAAAATATTATTTAAAATGCTAGGCAATATTTTAATGATGACATCAAGAGACTAGTCAAACTATGTTATGTCAAAAGCTGGGAAATGTATGTTACTTACTTATCATGCTTCTATCCCTTGAGATAACTTCTATCCCTTTAAATAACCAATTTTCCTGGGTAGACTAGGTTATAAGTATAGCATGCTATCAGAATAAAAAGTCAGCAGAACTTCTTGTAATACTTTCTTTTGTCCCTCTTGTAGTCAATGTCCAGAAGGATATGTGTGTGTGAAAGCCGGTAGAAATCCTAATTATGGCTATACAAGCTTTGATACCTTCAGTTGGGCTTTTTTATCTCTGTTTCGACTGATGACTCAGGACTTCTGGGAAAATCTGTATCAACTGGTGAGAATCTGAAGACATACATACTGCATTTACGTAGACGTGTATAAGAAAACCATCTTCGTTATGAAATCCAGATCGCAGCATAATATGGTAGAAGGAACAGAACTTGAAATTAGGATATTTGAGTTCCTTTATCCTATTGATTATAACACACAGTAAGCATAATGATGACAGGGCTAACAATTCTCTCTCATTTCCCTTTGGCCCAAAACCTATTTCCCACCCTTTTCCAGACACAGGTCTTCTCAAATAGAAGGTCCATCTTCCCCTCCGCCCCATCTGCCCCCTCAAGTATTATTCCTCAGGTGGCAGGTGATGAAAATCAGCAAGCAGACATAGAAAGATAACTGTGATGTCTTCCTTGACTTTTACCACAGGCTCAGCTCTTTGATGGAATCTCGATGGTATTTTATTTGATTCCGTTTTATTCTTGGTGAGTCCAAGAATTCCCTCCTAGAGATCAAAATGTGAATGCATGAGTTAGGGGAAAAGGAAGCAGAAGAGGATAAAGAAGCAGTCGAGGAGGTAGAAGGGGGTGTGACCCTCATAATTATTATTTATGTCGGAGTCCTACATGACACACAAGTAAGTTGAAAATTGAAGCCACTAGTTAGTGAAATGATATTGAAAAATAATTTTAATTGTTCTTATTGTCAGACGTTACGTGCTGCTGGAAAAACATACATGATCTTTTTTGTGCTGGTCATTTTCTTGGGCTCATTCTATCTGATAAATTTGATCCTGGCTGTGGTGGCCATGGCCTATGAGGAACAGAATCAGGCCACCTTGGAAGAGGCAGAACAGAAAGAGGCTGAATTTCAGCAGATGCTTGAACAGCTTAAAAAGCAACAGGAGACAGCTCAGGTAAATTCACCAAATCAAATATGTCCTGTCTCGTGGTACTATTCTTTTTTATTGTTTTGGTTGTTACAAAACTACCAGAGAGAAAGTGAGAGACAGATAATTGTTTGACTCTACTTAACAGAAGCTGGTAGTATGGTGGATTAGAAATGATTTCTACATATTGATCATCTATAGATCATTTAGTTTAATTTTTCTAAGATGTCTACAATATTGACCACAGTGGAACTCTCTCATGCCTTTTTTTTTTTTTTAACATTTCTTGGTATAATTCTTTTTTTTAAATTTTTTAAAATTTTATTATGTTATGTTAGTCACCATGCATTACCTCATTAGTTTTTGATGTAGTGTTCCATGATTCATTGTTTGCCTATGACACCCAGCGCCCCATTCAGTACTTGCCCTCTTTAATACCCATCACCAGGCTAACCCATCCCCCCACCCCCCTCCCCTCTAGAACCCTCAGGTTGTTTCTCAGAGTCCATAGTCTCTCATGGTTCGTCTCCCCCTCCGATTTCCCCACCTTCGTTTTTCCCTTCCTGCTATCTTCTTCTTTCTTTGAACATATAATGTATTATTTGTTTCAGGGGTACAGGTCTATGATTCAACAGTCCTGCACAATTCACAGTGCTCACCATAGCACATACCCTCCCCAATGTCTGTCACCCAGCCACCCCATCCCTCCCACCCCCCACCACTCCAGCAACCCTCAGTTTGTTTCCTGAGATTAAGAATTCCTCATATCAGTGAGATCCTATGATACATGTCTTTCTCTGATTGATTTATCTCGCTCAGCATAATACCCTCCAGTTCCATCCCACGTCGTTGCAAACAGCAAGATCTCATTCCTTTTGATGGCTGCATAGTATTCCATTGTGTATATATACCACATCTTCTTTATCCATTCGTCTGTCGATGGACATCTTGGCTCTTTCCAGAGTTTGGCTGTTGTGGACATTGCTGCTATAAACATTGGGGTGCACGTACCCCTTCGGATCCCCACATTTGCATCTCATGCCTTTTTAATGTTTTAAGATTTTTATAACTAAAGGGGAAATTTGATTTTCGAGACTTCTCAGCTGCAAAACTTACTGAATGGGTACACCGGCATTAGGAGAAAATCCTAAGAGCCATCTTTTCTTAGAAAAAAAAGTTTTGGTTATCATCTAAAAAAATGTTCATCTGGCTCCTAAAAGATAGTCTGTTCTTTTCTTTAACCAAAAATATATTGACTTTTAATATGGTTGCTTGCTTGCCTTTCTTATACAGTAAATAAAGAAGTGATGAAGTACTAAAATGTTCTGTGACAAAGCAGTATTCAACAGGCATGTGAAAGTCACCAATTTTGTGGAGACAAGGTCACCTACGGATTGTTTGTTCTTATAGTGAGGTGTCGCTGCTCATCGTACAATAAAATGCCTGTCCTGTCATTTCCATCTCCCCTCATGCTTTCTTTGCATACAGCCTCGGTGTCTTTCCTTCAGAATAAAGTTGTTTGGGGAATATTAATTTATTGGCGAGAGTCCCTGTATTGAGGGTACTCTGAGAACAATGGTAATAATCAGAAAGTGCCAACTGAGTACCAGTACAAGCTATGATCAAAAGCATTGTTTTCATTCCATACCCACGTGTCCAGCAAGAACCAGTGCTGAGCTAAAGAAGCTGGAGATGGTATTTGGAGAAAGGAATGTCTTGTCTTGCTTAGTAGAAACTGTTGACTGCCCTTTCTCCAGTCTTCTGGATTATGGAGGGGCAAGGAAGGGATTTTATCACCTATACATTTGATTGATAATATTTTGGCAGCCCAGTTTCAATAACTGGGCAGAGGACCTCAGCTTTTTATTGCATTCCTCCTACCTTGGGATATGACCTCAATTAAGTCATTAGCTTTTCTTCCATGCTGCAGTTTCTTTTTCAGAGAAAAGACAGTGCTAATTAAATACCAATTTTCAGAGTGAATCAAATCCCAAAAAGTAATATAAGTTTATGTTCTTGTTGATGCCTGATTGATCCTTTTGAATATGTGGCCTCTGCAGTGTAATATAAACACAATAAACGTTAGCACAGATAAAGCCACGTTAACCCTGAAAGCCTTCATTAGATAGGAAGTTGGGGGGGGGAGTCCCATTTATACTGCAGAGCTTCTTCTATGGGCGATCAGCTTGAGTCAGCTAAATGTATTTTTTAAATATCATGCAAATACTTGAGCTTAAAAAGATAGTCTTCGCTAATGCCATACTAAAACCATTTCTCCTTCATGTAGCAGGCAGCGGCGGTCACTGCCTCAGAGCATTCCAGAGAACCTAGTGCCGCTGGGGGGCTCTCTGACAGCTCATCCGAAGCCTCCAAGTTGAGTTCGAAGAGTGCAAAGGAAAGAAGAAATCGGAGAAAGAAAAGAAAACAGAAAGAGCAGTCTGGTGGGGAAGAGAAAGATGAGGATGAATTCCATAAATCTGAGTCTGAAGACAGCATCAGGAGGAAAGGGTTTCGCTTCTCCATAGAAGGGAATCGATTGACATATGAAAAGAGGTACTCCTCCCCACACCAGGTACGGCACCACAGAGTTAAAGGATGCATGGATGAAAATCAGAATGCTGAAGAGAGGGGGAGAATTAAATCAGACTTACGAATTGTCATCTACTGAATTGACTGCTATGTTTATTACATTTAAACCTATCCTTTCTTCACGTAGCTATGAGAAAATTTTACTCCACATATATGTAAGTCTGTGGCTTTCTGTAGTTGGGATCACACTGGGTTGAAAGTCAGAAGACCTGGATTCTCATCCTGATACTATCTGCTGATACCTTTTGAAACTAACGCTGTTTATTCTTTCTGCTCCTCAGCCTCTTTAATGAAAACAAAAACCAACAAAAATGTGGATGCAGGGCTGGCTGATCAATAACTTCTTTTGGTTATTTTATGTTGGTTTTTTTCCCCTAACTTTCTTATAAACCATATGTGCTTCTGAAAATATCAGGTGTGGTGTACATTCCCAAAAAGCACATTACTCTGAATTTCAGAAGTCTGTGCCTTACAGATGAAACAGGGATCATAATGAATGTAAAGTAATTTTAGAAAGATGGCCTAAAACTGAAAAGTGTTGGAATTCCTTGAAAGGGAAGAGCAGTAAGAACAAATGTGTCCTTGTGAAGGTCATGCTGCCAGGGTTTATTGAATGTTGATGGTGTCCATAGTATGTGCTAAGGATGGTTCCTTTTGAACTTGAAAAATGGTGATTTGGGGTTTTGATTTTTTGGTATCTTTAAGTTGTGATCTATCTCCCCATTCATAATCTCAAGGACTAGAAATCTTCTCTTACAAAACCAATTTAATTTGAGCACATAAAGTGAGAATGTTAATCAAAACGAGTGAATCACATTCTCTTATGAATACTGAAATGTCCTTCAACTTAATCTTGCAAAATTAAAAGCACATTTCAAGCGGTTATATTAATATGATTGTACTTTTTTTGGTTCCAAACTTTTAGTCTTTGTTGAGCATCCGTGGCTCCCTATTTTCTCCAAGGCGAAATAGCAGAACAAGCCTTTTCAGCTTTAGAGGGCGAGCAAAGGATGTGGGATCGGAGAATGACTTTGCTGATGATGAGCACAGCACCTTTGAGGATAACGAGAGCCGGAGAGACTCTTTGTTTGTGCCCCGACGACATGGAGAGCGACGCAACAGTAACCTGAGTCAGACCAGTAGGTCTTCCCGGATGCTGGCAGTGTTTCCAGCGAATGGGAAGATGCACAGCACCGTGGATTGCAATGGTGTGGTTTCCTTGGTTGGTGGACCTTCAGTTCCTACATCGCCTGTTGGACAGCTTCTGCCAGAGGTGATAATAGATAAGCCAGCTACTGATGACAATGTAAGGAAGTTTTAAATAGTTCAGGCATGGCTGGCCCATTATTGCTGCACCAGCCAGTGTTTCTACGGAATGGAACACTTTGAGAATGATTCCTGGTTGGTCAAGCTGTGAATGCACCTGCATCTTGTAATACATTTAATAGACTAACCAACTAAAACTTGAGGCCTCAACACTCTCTTGCATAACACCGAATGCATTTACTTATTAAACACGCTAAGAATAAATTAGACACAATAATAAATTACTGCCTCCAGTTGGTGGATTTGTTATATACCCATACTGAGCTTAGATAGCAAGACATCCTCTAAAGCTTTGGTATAAAAGTAAATGAATGATTCCTCTGTTTAAGTATAAAGGGTGTATAATAAATCTTTCCAACAGATTCTTCACTATAGCTCTGACTTATTTTAGAAGATTTTCAAGAACACTGTGCCTACATAGATAGCTTCATTGTTATCTTAAAATTTCTAGTATTCACCTTTGTCTTCCTAAAAAAAAAATGCTGATATAAGTCTTCTCAAATTGAATCTAAATGACAAGACATAAATAAATCGTTAATACAGACAGATAAAAGAATTGTCTGTACAAACATATGTTACGTGTTTGTGAATGTATACGAGGATGAGGAATTTCTGAACACATGCTGACTCTTGGAAGTATATCAGCATGATGAGGCATGACTAAGTCAGAATTAGATGACTTATTGCTTTGGTACCCTGGATGAAACTGTTGTCCATGCAGCATGTGTGTGTTTTTCACATACAGTTTGTGTTGTCAATGACCATCTATGTCTTGTGTACAGAAAATGAGGTGGCGGCTACATGTGTTGTAATCATTTGTATTTCTTGAAAAATAAATGGCTACCTTCTCAAAATAAAATGCCTGACCATTTATATGACTTTTCAGGTTGTTAGTTTTATACTATTAGTTCAGAAATGGGGTGAACTGTTAAATATGTCTCTCAAGCGATTTATTAACTATATCAAAATTACACCATGTCTCGTAAAATTACAAAAGTAGAGGGTTAAAAAACTCAGCTTTTTGCTGTATGACTAAATGGTTGACAGTTTGGATATTCCAGGTTAATGATACAATAAGTCAGCAATCTCTGCCATCACCAGCTAAATATGAAAAGTGCATGGTGCATGTGTTTCATGAAATTCACTGTGTCACATTTGGTTCTTTGCTTAGCATATTGCTCAAGTTAATCATTTAATACACTAGCATTTTCTTTATAGGGAACAACCACTGAAACAGAGATGAGGAAGAGAAGGTCAAGTTCTTTCCACATTTCCATGGACTTTCTAGAAGATCCTTCCCAAAGGCAAAGAGCAATGAGTATAGCCAGCATTTTAACAAATACAGTAGAAGGTTTGTTACACATTCCATTTTCATTCAGTTATTTTCACTAAACTTATAGTGTCTCACTTGAAACAAATATCTCTCTTTGTAAGTTGGAAACAATACATTCTAAAGAGAATATAGTAGATCTTATTTAAGAGTTATTCCTTGTTATACCTACTCATATATTCTAGGAGCTTTAAAAAAGTTACTTAAGCACAATGATAGTGAAAATCTAGAGCACGTTTTCCTGTGTGTGGCAATTCCTTGAAAATGCAGAATAAAGCAGCTCTGTTAGAGCTGCTAATCTCAGTCATTGTGACCCTTTCTTCTGTTCCATTTAGCTTAGGACTTCAACATCATCCTAAATACTATCAAGATTGGAGGGGAGGAGTGGATCGTTTCACAGAAGAAAACAAATTTAAAAGATGATTCTTGGCTCCTATAGATTCTTACCCTCTCTCTCACAGGTTTAGGTTGACAGTTTAGCCAGATATTATCAGAGGATTACACACAGTATCTACATTTCTGCAACTCATGTTCCTATTGAAACTTCGTTTAAAAGACCATTCACTTCAGGCCAGGTGCTGAGCCATATTATCAATGCGTACGAGAAAAATACTATTCTTTGCTACCTCTGCTCTATGTGTATGTCTGATGAAATATCTTCAAGTGTCTAAAGAATAAATTCTATAGTTTTTTTAAGTACAAAAGAGGTTGACTCTGTAGCAAATAAAAGTGTGTTGATTACTGAAAAACAAGTCTAGTGGATCTGAAATAAATGTGTGTACAAAATATATCTTTTGGTTCTTTTTTTTATTTTTAATTTAGAACTTGAAGAATCCAGACAGAAATGCCCACCCTGTTGGTATAAATTTTCCAACATATTCTTAATCTGGGACTGTTCACCATATTGGTTAAAAGTGAAACATATTGTCAACCTGGTTGTGATGGACCCATTTGTTGACCTGGCCATCACCATCTGTATTGTCTTAAATACTCTTTTCATGGCCATGGAGCACTATCCAATGACAGAACATTTCAATAATGTGCTTGCAGTAGGAAACTTGGTAAGCATATTGGAAGGTAAATGTGTTCAATCATTGAATTTTCTGTTTGAGAAACTGTTTCCATTTAATAATAGCTTAAAGCAGTCTTTCTTCTACCTTTCCTACCTCCTGGCTTCCAAAAGATGAAAATTATATCTAACTAGCTACACCCTACTTTTTGCTAACCATAATAGCGCTTAATGTCAAAGCAAAAACTGAGGAAGAGAGCAATAGCCATAGGCCTACAGTACTACTTGAAAAGTCAATATTGATATTTATAATTTTTTCAAGATACAGAAGCAATTAAGGACACGCGTTTTGAAATGATACTACCGCAGTTTCCCTAGCTGTAGAAGGCTTAAAAAAAAAAAAAGGTAGATCTTTTTATTTTGCTTAGTCATCATCATTATAAGCAAAAATTTAACAACTCAAAAAGGTATTCAGCTTTTCCACTTCCAAGATCTAAATAGGACATGTATTGTTTTATCTATCTATTCTATATCAAAACCATCAAATATTAAAAACCTTCAGTACATTTTGTGTATTGTTTGATTAGTAAGGCCATTTTTGGTAAAGGTTGTCACCTAAATCCTTCTCTTCTGTGCTTAAAAAACATGAATTATTAAAGTGTTTGTCAGTTGACTCAATTTAGGAATACTAGCTTTTATTTGAAAGAAAGCTAGTTTGAAATAGCTTGAAATACTAGCTTTTACCTGAAAGAAAGAGGACTTTAAATTAATGTATGTATTTTTTATATTATTTGTTTTGAGATGTAAGATTTTTGATGGTAAAAAACAAAACATGTAGGAGCACCTGGGTGGCTCAGTCGTTAAGCGCCTGCCTTCGGCTCAGGTCATGAGGGTCCTGGGATCGAGCCCCGCATCGGGCTCCCTGCTCCGTGGGAAGCCTGCTTCTCCTTCTCCCACTCCCCCTGCTTGTGTTCCCTCTCTCGCTGTGTCTCTCTCTGTCAAATAAATAAATAAAATCTTAAACAAAACAAAACATGTAAAGCATCCTGCATTGTAGTATTTACACTTTTAAAGCACTGGTATTTATACTATGGAAGTAAATTTATTTTTTCACATGCTTAACAAATTGATAATAGTAACGCACATATTATAGTAATAGATATACGCGTATAATAACGATTGGATTTGAGGAAAATGGGAATATGCCTATAGATAAATGAAAATGTTCATGGGCAAGATATCATGAGTACCTGTGCTGTATAAGGTCTGGAGGGACAGGCAGTTTGATGTGATGGAAGTTAAAAACAGATTTGGACCCAAATCCTAGTTTTGCCATTTTCTAGTTGTGTGATACCAGGCAAGTCACTAGTAAAGTAATGTTTGTATTACCTGCATTAGCCACTTCATAAACTTCTGTGGCAATAAAATGAAATAAAGTAAATGAGACCTTTCTTGTAAACTATAAATTACTACACAAATATATCTAGTAATAGAATCATTATGAGTAAATTAGTATAAATATTTTGTTCTATGAGCAAATACTAAATCATTCTACTTTATCATTATCTGATGGAATTAAAGTAACTTTGTTTTGATCGTAGGTTTTCACTGGAATCTTTACAGCAGAAATGTTTCTGAAAATTATTGCCATGGATCCTTACTATTATTTCCAAGAAGGCTGGAATATCTTTGATGGTTTTATTGTGACACTTAGCCTGGTAGAACTTGGCCTCGCCAATGTGGAAGGATTATCAGTTCTCCGTTCATTCCGACTGGTAAAAAAACAAAACGAAACAGCAACAAAACCAAAACCTGTCCAAGAGCCAGGGTTCTTACGTAGTACTCTCATAGGTTTTACTATGCAACTACTAATATTTTTAATTTTTGTGTAACATTTGCATTGTCAAAACTATCCCTAAATGGAAAAAAAAAATTATCCCCACTCATTTGGAAAAATCTTTATTTAAAAAAAAAGCATAGTGAGGTAAAGTTAAATATATAACTCAGTTGCCGTTGTGACTAACTATTATTTCTAGAGATGACTACAGTTAATATTTCTGGATTGAAGAAAATATTTTTAATGAAAATATGTCACATTTTAATAGTAACTTGAAAATATAAACAGTCCTTTGTATGGTGGATGGTAATCAGATGCAATGTGGGCATGCAGAAAATTCCTAATTTGACCTCTGGAAAATATGCTCCTTCCCTAAATCAGAAGAGAAAAATCTGTAGGATTACTTACTACGCCCTTTGATTTACATATATGTCCTTGCAAATCAGGGAAATAATTATAGGTGTGAGAAATCTCCAAATTTTTAAATGCAGGCATCTAGCTATGTCAGTACCCCAAAGGAGTATTAATGAATAATAAACAATTTCCTCCGCTTATAGCAAGGCTCAATATGGTGTCGTTTTGCATGCTATTGATAAGTGAGTATCTTTTCAACAGAGATTATAATGATTCAGATGTTAATATTAGTGTCAGGCCTGGTATGCCTTAGACCCACTTTCACCAAGCAAATTAAAGACTGTTGGACCCCAAGTAATCTTGAAAAAATTCACTCTTAGGGAAAATGATCTACATGATTAAAATATGGTTGGACAAGATTCTTCCTAGGGGGTCCAAAAATTAGCCATGAGCCTGAGAGAGTTCAAGGGCAGGGCAGATGTTGTAAGAGATTCAGTATTAATCATTTCTTGGTAAACCTCAATATATGTAAAGATCATAATAATATATATTAATTTTTTTTTATTTTCCAGCTTCGAGTTTTCAAGTTGGCAAAATCTTGGCCAACATTAAATATGCTAATCAAGATCATCGGCAATTCAGTGGGGGCTCTGGGTAACCTCACCTTAGTGTTGGCCATCATTGTCTTCATTTTTGCCGTGGTCGGTATGCAGCTCTTTGGTAAAAGCTACAAAGATTGTGTCTGCAAGATCTCCACCAGCTGTGAGCTCCCACGCTGGCACATGCATGACTTCTTCCACTCCTTCCTGATTGTGTTCCGCGTGTTGTGTGGAGAGTGGATAGAGACCATGTGGGACTGTATGGAGGTCGCTGGTCAAGCCATGTGCCTTACTGTCTTCATGATGGTCATGGTGATTGGAAACCTGGTGGTATGTACCCATTTAAGATATCTATTTCAGAAATAGATTAAGAGCATAATAGAATGGTGACCATTTTGTCCAAAACAAAAACTATGATTTATAATTTATAAAGTCTCTAGGCTTGGATATGCATATAGTCTCACTTTGACAACACAGCAATATAGCTGTGACCCTATAGTTTTTGTTTTTGTTTTTTTAAGATTTTATTTATTTATTTGACAGAGAGAGACACAGCGAGAGAGGGAACACAAGCAGGGGGAGTGGGAGAGGGAGAAGCAGGCTTCCCGTGGAGCAGGGAGCCCGATGCGGGGCTCCATCCCAGGACCCTGCAATCATGACCTGAGCCGAAGGCAGGCGCTTAACAACTGAGCCACCCAGGCGCCCCGGCCCTACAATTTTTATATTCAAATTAACTTTGTCAGTCATTTCATCACATTTAGTATATGCATTTTAACAGAGTATCCTACTGAAAACAGGCCTTGAGGGATATACTGAGAACATTTTACAAATTCAGAGAAAAGGGAGGGAGACGTCCGAAAAAATTTTTAAAGAAAGCTTAATCTTACTTGCCAGTATAGGACTAAACAGTGGTGTCTTTAAGTGTTCATAATGATTTTACCATTTCCTTGCCTCTTCATGGCATATAACATTCAATCACTCTATGTCATATGACAGGTGCTTTAGCCAACCTAGGTTAATCAATTTTCTAGTGGTTCTCAGTCAAAATAAGGGTGGGCTAATGAGACCTGAGATTACCCAAATGGAGTAACTGGTCAATTCTTCTCTTAAGTTGGAAACATGAATTACTCTTTATAGTATAGAAAAATTTAATATATTCCAAAAGATACATATATTAAGTGTCAGTTTTATGGAAATATTAGAGATTATTTATAAACAGTTCTCCTAATTAATCAATAGTGGAGTATGAGAAAGATAATAGGTTAAGAAAATAAGTGCCAATGCCTATGTTAAGATACTGATTCTTATTCTGGACTATAATGATTATTTTTTAAAATTTATATCTAACTCAGTATCTCTGTTTATCAAAAAAGGAACTATAGAATGTATTTAAGTGCGTAATTGCAAACACCAGTGATTTTTAAGGTTAGAACTTTCGTATGGTACATATTTCAATCTGTTTTCTTACAATCATACAATTTTAAACATAGCTAAACCTTAGGTTAACTCATTCAAATTCTTCATTCTCTAAGTGGGAGAATGTGAGACCAACAGAAATCATGTCTTTGCCCAAGGACGTGGAGTGAGGTAGCTTTTGAGCCAGATCACAAATTCAGATTACCCAACTTCTTCTAATCACTGTGCTATGGTGTTTCTTTCTTACCTGTTAGAACTTACAGTTTCCTCTACACTTAGAGGAATAAGTGACCTCAATCTGCTCTTCTTTACATTGGGGTAAAATTATAATCATGTCTGTGTTATTTTTAAGGTCCTGAACCTCTTTCTGGCCTTGCTTCTGAGCTCATTTAGTGCAGACAATCTTGCAGCCACGGATGATGATAATGAAATGAACAATCTCCAAATAGCTGTGGACAGGATGCACAAGGGAATAGCTTACGTGAAGAGAAAAATATATGAATTTATTCAACAATCCTTTGTTAGAAAACAAAAGATTTTAGATGAAATTAAACCACTTGATGACCTAAACAATAAGAAAGACAGTTGTATGTCCAATCATACAACAGAAATTGGAAAAGATCTTGACTATCTTAAAGATGTGAATGGAACCACAAGTGGAATAGGAACCGGCAGCAGTGTTGAAAAATACATTATTGATGAAAGTGATTACATGTCATTCATAAATAATCCCAGCCTCACTGTGACTGTACCAATTGCTGTCGGAGAGTCTGACTTTGAAAATTTAAACACAGAGGACTTCAGTAGTGAATCAGATCTCGAGGAAAGCAAAGAGGTAAGATTTTATAGATGTAGGTAGGTATAAATCTATCTATATATATATATACATGTATTATTGCCTGTATATAAATATATATGTGTGTGTGTATCTTGCTGCCTTTGGGTAAATCAGGTTTGTGGTGATGAGACGGGGAGAGAAAGAGTACAGAGATATAATGGTAGGCAGATCCTCATCTCATTTCCCATGTCCACAGATAATGGATTCAGGAGGAAAAATGATAGATCATTTTTGTAAAACATTGTATAATTTTTTTCAGGATATTAATTTGAGTTTTATCACAGTTCAAATGTTGTTCATTGAAGATTTGGGTTTTACTAAAGAACCAATGGAAGCTGATTTTTTTAAAATGATTTTTATTTTTATAAAGTTGGTTCTAAAGTACTGTTAAAATAAATTTGGCAATATTTTTTTTCTAGTCCAATTTTTATTTTGTCTTGAATCTTCAGATTTACATTTGATATTTGGTGAAGACTAATAGCTACCACATGCTCTGTTGTATTAAAAAAGAAACTTTTAAAAAAAGGAAATTTTATTACAAAGACCATCCGTAGCAAATACTTTTTCTGCAAAAATTTTCCATGATTTATACTGTTTTTGTCTGTATGGTTCAGGGCTAACAGAAAAAAATGGATCTTTTTATTAAAAAGTGACTATCCACTGAACCACTATGGCAGTTCTATTTCTTCATATCTGTATCATTTTATATCTTGGATTATCATTGCATTAATTGAAAATTTAAATATTGGGGTAGTAGAAACTTTAGAGACAATGTAATGCAGTATTTCTCAAATTCTGAGTCATGACCCAGTAGGAGTTGATAAGCCAACTTATTATACCAGTAATTTTTTTAATTGTAATTAAACAGAATAGATGATACCAGAGCACATGACGTGATGTAGGGAACACTGATGAATGAAGCTCCAGCTGCCTATGCTGAACTCAGATGCACTGCTTTCCTAATCAGAGGGCAAGCCCTGGGTCTGGGTGTGTGTGGGGGGGTGGGGGGTTGCCTGAAGTGCAGAGTTCTTAAATGTGAGTGCAGAGTTCTTAAACACTGTTTCAGCTCTTTGAAAGTGGTGATCATGAAAACTTCTGGACCCCAGGCAGAATGGATGGCTTCTTTTTTGGTTCCCAGAGATAGAAGGCAGAGCATAGGTAATAAACAACTCATGCTCTAGGCTCATACATCTCACAAAGTATCATAACATTTTGTTCTAGCTACTGATATGTATGCCTGTCTCTCCTTTTATATTGTGACATGCTTGAATATGTTTGCTACAAAGTAGGAACTCAGATCAAACTTTTCCATCTCATTTAACTCTGTTTAATAGAACCATTTTGAAGGATTCACATTATCACACTTGCTCTGATGAGAGCGCACTTGAAAATATAATTTTATTCCCCATGATCCAGACTCCATTTTTCTCTTGATTCAACCTAATAATGTGTTAGATATTGCTGGGTTTTTTTTTCTTTATTAGACATTTACCTTGTCAATTTATGTTGGGCTTCTAGGAAAGCAATTATCCGTCATCTTTTTTCACAAGAACTGCTATTGAAATGCAGTTGTATCTCAACCAGTTGAATTTTTATATTCAATACTGAAACTTCTATTCATCCCTGTTACATTTCAGTTTCTTTCATTTATTTTTAAATTAGCTTTCTGTAAATATTCTTTTATAAATTACCATATTGTCACAAATTTCCTGGTACTTTAGTTCAGCATTTATTTCTTCCTTCTTGGTCAGAAATAAACCCATATAAAGTTATTTCTCCTCATTGCTTCCTTAGTCTTATATTGTATTCTCTTCAAAGCAAGGCACAATTTATATGATGCTCTTCTTTTAGTGGAATTATACTGATGACAGGTGCCTCAAAAGATGAAGGTTCTCTATTCTAAATTAGGAATGCAGCCTATAGGGTATTAAAGTAATCTCATCATTTTGGTTCTTTCTGTTTTAGCCTTTATTCTTTTGCCTACCTTCATTTATTCAGCAGTTACCATACACCAGACATTGTACTAGATAATGGAGGATACAAATGAGCCATAGTTTTGCATATATGTATGGTAATGATCACATGTGTGGTAATTATCATATACATATATATGCAAATGCATATATACATATATACACACATACATATATAGTTGACCCTCCAACTACATGGGTTTGAACTGTGTGGGCCCATTTATACACTGATTTTTTTTTGATAAGTACTGAACTGTAAATGTATTTTCTCCTCCTTATGACTTTCTTAATAACATTTCTTTTTCTCTAACTTTATGGTAAGAATACAGTATATAATATATATACAAAATATGTATATATTAATCAACTGTTTATGTTATCAGTAAAGCTTCTGGTCAACAGTAAGCTATTAGTAGCTGAGTTTTAGGGGAGCCAAAAGTTATATGTGGAGTTTTGACTGCACAGGGTGTTGGTACCCTTCACCCCTGCATTGTTCAAGGTCAACTGTACATATATTTGGATTTTAGAAAGATAATTCTCAACTTTTAAATATGAATTTCCATGTTGGGACATACTTTTATTGACTCACAATGTTACCTACCATGGGCTCTGCTAGACCTGTTCCATTTGAATATGTTAATGTTTCCATGCTTGGATTTCAATAATGAGCCTTATCTATTATGGATCATTATTGAAATTATATCAATGCCTTGGGTTAAAGTTATAAATGGTCGTTGTTTATTATCTATTTCCTAAGCATTTGTTTTTAGACATGAAAGCCTATAATTATAATGTTGTTCATAATAGATTATTCTCTGGAGCCAGATATTGTGTTATATGATTCCATTTTAGCCAACATACCACATGGCCTTACCTGACTATCCGGTCCTCAATTCTCTTCTCAAAAGTGGGGATAAAATCACCTTCATACTTTCTGTGGAGAATTAAATGAGACAATAAATGTGAAGTAGTTAGCATAGTACCTGACAAATTAGAAATATTCAAAAAATTGTCATTATTATTATTACTAATAGCATTCCCCACACTCTGTTGGCCAGTGTTTTCTTGTAAGAGTCACTAGTAACATATTCCACTGTTAGTCCTTTTGTGTTGTCTGCCTTCTGCCCTCTGTTATAAATTGCTTTACAGGTTTATCTGGAAAAGTGACAGATTTTGTATTTTCTGTTTCATTTTTAAATTGTCTCATTAAATTCTTGTTATGGTGGACTCCTTTAAAAAGTTAGGAAACTTTTTTTTTTCCTAAAGAGCATTCCAGTCAGAAAGAATAAATATACAGAAATCTAGAGACATGACACAACATGATGTATTTAGACACAATAATAGTTTAATGTTTCTGGGATATAAAGTCACAGGAGATGAAGCTACAGGAGTATACAAGGAGCAGACTCCTCAGTTTCCAGAAAATGAAGAACAGACTGCAAATGAAGAGACATGTAAAAGGGAGACCTGTATTTGTTTTGCTTCCCCCATAAGGTGTACACGTATGCACCACTGTCCCCCATTCCAGGACAAATTTGTCGGCTGTCTTTCTACAATTGTCCCGTGTTTTTCCCCAGATGTAGGAAAGGCGTAGCATGGGCCACACTCCACACTTCTGTAAGTCCCAGCAGACCTCAACCCACAGAGTACATTCAAATAACCTAAGAAATTATCTTTAAAACCTCATAAAGGTTTCTTGACTCATGCAGTAGTAAGAATAATGGAACAGCTAGAAATATGGGTTTCCACTGAAAATTAATAATAAGGAATGGTGGCTTAGATTTTGAAGAGCTTTAAAAACTGGGCAAAACTGGCAATATAAAATCATATCTCTCCAATTAGAAAATAAGTTTCTTTGGTTACGGAGTGTATTTTATATAATTTTAGTCTTCTGAGGCCCCCACTGCAATGTTGGGCACAAATATGTGCTCAATAACTTGTTGAGTTTTGGTTGATTTGTTTGGATAATGAGACTAAAAGTCTGGTGGCCTTAACTCTACCGTGGGCAAATCACTAACTCTATATTACCCCATTTCCTAACTTGTAAAAGGAAGACAACTGTCCTCTGGTGCTTATAGGAATATCATGAGGATACAAAAGCTGTTTGGAAGTTAAAAGTGCTCAAAAACATAAGGTGATAACAGCACAATTACTACTATAATTCTGTCTGCATAAATACTTTTTAACTGAATTGAGTTATTAAACTTGTACCTTTTGGAATAAAAACAATATATTACTAAACTAGTTAGGGAAAAAGTACACTTATTTTTGCAATGAGTGAGCCCTAGAATGAGTAGAAATGCCACTTGGATCTTTGTAATTCAGGTCATGCTAATAAAATATCACATGCACTGTCTCACTCAATCTTCATACCAGCAAATAGATATTATTCCCATCTTTTGGATAAGGACATTGAATGCAGCGTTTAAGTAGCTTGCCACTGTCACACAAGTAGTAAGGACTGATCCTGCACTAGAAGAATCTAGGCAGTTGGCAACACAATCTATGTTCTTAACTATTACACAAAATCTCCTTAACAGTGACTGAAAAAATATTTTCTTTGGCATTACTTTAAAATTAATGATATTGTTTATTGAAGAACTAAGAATAGGTGTCCATTATAGAATTGGTCTTTTTTTTTTAAGGTTTTTTTTTTATTTATTCATTTGACACAGAGAGGGAAAGAGGACTCACAAGTAGTCAGAGCAGCAGGCAGAATGAGAGGGAGAAGCGGGCTCCCCGCCAAGCAGGGAGCCCAATGCAGGCCTTGATCCCAGGACCCTGGGATCATGACCTGAGCCAAAGCTGTTGCTTAATCGACTGAGCCACCCAGGCGCCCCTAGAGTTGGTCTTAACTACCAGTACCTCTTCAGCGGGCATAGGTTAATGGCATAGTCACAAGTGTCTGAGTCCTCTCCCTCAGTCCTGGAGGATTGTCTTCCTTCTGCACTGGCCTGCAGGTTAGACCGATCTTCTGAATCCCATACTGACCTATGGAGGTCTACTTCTAATTATAGAGCATTG